CTCTTATTTTTCCTTCCTTTACATAAAATCATGGAAAGGACAAAAAGCCTCCCAATCCTGTCCCTCCTATTTCTCATACTGAGCAATTAATGGAGATTAAAAAGCCATCCTGTATATAATATGGTTAGTTAAGTGATCTAATGCTGCATTTATTCAGTTAGTTGCAGGCAGTGAGGTGGGGACTTGGTTAGAGGAGTCAGACAGAGGAGTGGTAGTCTGATTAGCAGTTGTTGTCTGGGGTTGTTGGGAAAAATGGTGGCTGTGACCATCAGTGGGGGTCAGTTTTGCTGGGTGAGGTTTAGCTTTGGACTGAAGAAATCTGTTGCTTCCAAGTGGTCTCCATTTCCTAACAGACATTGCCATTCTGCCTGTGGCGTTTACTCTACCTGTCAACTTTGCCTATCTTTTCCTGCATGTAACTGTGTCAGAGATGGCTACAACCAGATTTCCAATCAGTCCATTTGCTTCTATCTATTAAAGCCAATTTAATTTCTTTTTATATAAGTGTTACAGCTAACGGGGTCCAAGGTCTGATATGGTGCCTACCTGAGGTTGACAGAAGTGCTGAAAGACATTTGCAGTTTGGCAAATGGTTGTTTTCCTGGTCAACAGGTATAGAACGAACGGTCTATTGCACTCACAGGGTCATTAGGAGTCAAAATCAACTTAACGGCACACAACAACAGTTGCACTAAGAGGAGTTTGTTTTAAATGCAGGAAGGCAATGGCCATGCTATGTAGGCGTGGAGCTGGGTTGGGAATGAAGTTAGCTCTAACCCCTTCTGGCCCTGCTCTAGATACCTGCTCTTCCTCTCCTGGTGGCCCCTTTCTTGGTGAGCTTCTGAGTCACAGACAAATGGCACAATGGTATTCTATCCTCTTAGCCACCCAGCCTTGCAGATGGTGGGTCCCTGTGGGAGGGATGGGTGGCATGAAGGGACTTTTGCTTATTCTGTATATTAAACAGTTTAGAACAATGCCCATTTTCCTTACCTGTATGTTGGGATTGGTGCAAAGGTTCCCCAAACTGGAGGCAATTGGTTCTCTTTGGTTCATCTGCTCATCTGCTGCCACCTAGTGGTTCCTTCTCCTTCAGCACCCTGTGTAAAGTGGAGGGGACACTATGGACAGTTCTGCATTGCCTTTTCTTCTTTTTCTCCCAGACATAGGCTATGCCCTCCCCTTGTAAAAAAATATTTTTTTTTCCTCCATCACATACACACACAAAACTCTTCCTTGTTTTACTTCTGAGGCAGAAAATCTGGAGACAAATGGCTAGCATAGAGGATCTTTTGAGAAACTTGGGAATCCATGGACAACATCCATGTTTGCTTCCTGCTTCTCTCTTTTGGTGATGTGAGATGAGTGTCTTACTCCACAGTATACTGTGGGCATTATATGGGTGAGGAAGACTAGTAACAATCCAGGGCTGCTCCAAATGGGCAGTTTCAGAGAGAAAACTTCTATAGTTACTCAGTTACCCATCTTTGAAAATGTCTTGTGTAGAGTCAGGTAGTAATAATAGCTAACCCTTATTGGGCATTATGACCCAGTGCAACAGAATAGACCCCCTGTAGAGTGAGGAAATCGAGGCACAAAAGGTCAAGTAGCGTGCTCCAGGGAACACAGCTAGTCTACAGGGCACTGGGATTTATTCCCAGGCTGTATGATTCCACGTTCTTAACCTATGTGACGCTGCCTCTTCAACGTGCAGGTAACCCAAGTGTTAGGTGCAGGCAACGGGAGAGAGAAACAAGGCCTGTGTAGACGGGAGCCCTCCTCAAGCGCATCCTCAGTCTCTTCCTGGAATGAAGCTGTGGTACAGGACTCGTTGTTGGGTGCTGTGGAGTCGATTTAACTCACAGTGACCCTAAGTAACAGAGTAAAACTGCCCCACAGGGTTTTCTAGGTTGCAATTTTTACAGGAACATATAACCAGGATTGGTTGTTGTTGTTATGTGCCGTCGAGTTGGACCCAACTCACAGCGACCCCTCCTTGGGTTTCTGAGGTAGTATCACTACTGAAGTAGATTGCCCCATCTTCCTTCCGAGGAGTGGCTGGTGGGTTTGAACCGCCAGCCTTCTGGTTAGCAGTCAAGTGCCTTAGGCACTAAGCTACCAGAGCTCCCACCAGGATTGGTGGGGTTGTGAAAAGAGGGCTGAAAAGGAACTCTCCAACTTGCTGACCCCAAGGACTTGCTTCTGGCCCTGTCTCAGAGAGAATCAGTGTGTAAGAAACCAAGTAATCAGTCAACCGGAAGTCAGAGAAGCTGACCAGAAACCAGACAGGCTTGGATTCCAGAGATGATTCTGTCCCTGAAGGACAATCTCAAGTCCCTTTCTCTGCCAGAGCTTTTGTTTTCTTTCTGGCCATCCTTTCCCACTTGGAAGCTGGCATTTTGATACCATTACAAAAAGAAACTCAACACCATCAGACACAGGAATGAACTAAATCTGAAGTTTATTTCTGCTTTTCAAACCAGTCAAAATAACCAGCAACTTCCTTCTCTAAGGGTTTTTCTCCCTCTCTCAACTTCCCTGTGAAAACCCAGTGGGTAAGGCAGAAATGGATGTGTGGACATGCTTAGAGATGAGAATGAGCTATGACAAGCCTGCTTTAGTAGCAGGTTTGATGAATGTTTCTCTTCCCACTGGTCTTTTTGGTGGTTTACAGTCACTACAAGTGTCAAAGACTTGGGTCTCTTTGGTGGAGAGGAATCCATGGCACTGGTAGGGGCAGCAAGGGTGGGGCATAGGGCTTCTTGATAATCAGCTTCTTCATAAAGGCAGAATAGAGAGAAGAATGTGTGTCCTAAAGGAGAAAAACAAATAAATTTGCTTTTATGGTTCAAAACATAGAAGGCATGAAAGGGCACAGAGTGGAGAATCTCCCTCCTACCTGTCTCGTTGTCACACGTTCTGTCCTGGGTCCCTGGGTCGCATTTTCTTACCTGTCCTTCAGAGCTATCTTATCATAAAATATAAAATATGCATATATAGTCTCCGCCCCATTGTTTACACAATGGTGCAAATTAGCATTCTTTGCTGTTTATCTCAGAATGTAGACCCTATCCATGCAGAGAGCTCTCTTTCTTTTCTACCGCTGCAGTTTTCAGTGCTTTGACTTAAAAAACAAAACAAAACAACCAAACTCACTGTTACTGAGTCAGTTCTGACTCATAGCAATCCCTATGGGGTTTCCAAGGCTGTAAATCTTTACAGAAGCATACCGCCCCATCCCATCTTTCTTCCATGGAGTGGCTGGTGGGTTCAAACCACCACCCTTCTGGTTAGCAGCCAATTGCTTTAACCACTACACCACCAGAGCTCCTTAGTTATTTGACTCAAAAGAAAAGAAAAGAAAAGAAAAAGAAACACACACACAAACAAACACAACAAACAACTCACTGCCATTGAGTTCATTCCAATTCAGTGACCCACATAAGGCTTCCAAGGCTGTAAATATTTACAGAAGTAGATTGCCCCTTCCTTCCTCAGAGTGGCTGGTGGGTCTGAACTGCCAGACTTCTGGGTAGCAGCCAAATGCCTTAGGCACTGTGCCACCAGAGTTCCTTTATTCATTTGTCTCTATTATTTAGATAATTCCCAATCTTTTGCTATTAAAAATGAATAGCCTTATGTGTATATCATCATTTTGCATCTGTGCAAGTATAGCTGTAGGATAAATTGGTGGGTCAAAGAGAATGAGGAGATAAACAACTTAAAATAAACAACAGAGTGAAGTAGATTGGATTTGTTTAGATTTGACAGAAAAATTCCAACCTTTCTGCATCCATGGTAAGGAAACAGAGTGCTCACTGGGAAAAGGCACATAAAGTCAAATCTTGAGTGACAGGCCTGAGCTGGTGCTTTCGGGTTGGACAAGGGCATTGGAGAGTAAGATCTATCCTTATGTATTTTCCTAAATGAATTCAGTCAGCTGCTGCTGCACACTAGCGTGGGCCCTGGTGTGCAAGATTCCAAGGGCAGCCTGTATCATTGTCACACTGATGTTATCCTTCATCCCCAGCCATAGAGGCTGCTCCCATCTGAGGCTGGAAGATGGAGCTAGCAACATCATGCTGGCCTTGGGTACCCTTCATCACCTCCCTAAATCTAAACAAAACCCACTTTGTACCAAAGTGACTCCCATTGTCACCCCACCCATCCAAGCACTCACTCTCACACTGGTAAAATACAGCATCGCTCCTGCTCATAAAGATGGAGCCGTATTCTTTATTGCTTAGGAGTTGGTTTGATATGTTCTATGGCCTCATGCTAGATTCTCATCTTGGCCAGTCATGTTGCAATACATGGGAAGTGGTGCCATGGGTGTGAGAGCTGGGACGAAAACTCAGATCCATCCTGTGAAAGAGATTTCTAGGTATCCTCCAGTATCATTCACTCCTTTTTATATAATGACCCCCAACTCCTACTTTTAGGCTGGACACATGGCTACCTAGAATAAAGCTTTCTTTGCAGCTGAATGTGTCTGTGTGTCTAAATTCTGGCCAATGGGATATAAGTGAAAGTAGTATGTCCACCTGTGAAGTGCCCTTAAAGGTGTGCCCATCTTTCATAGTATTTTTCCTGCTAGGTAGGACACACTCATGATAGGTGGAGCTGAAGCATCTATCTTGGGCCATGTGGTGACCTTGGGAATGTTGGCCACACACAGTGGGACAACAAGACAAGACCTGAATATCTTGGGCCACTCACTTCCAGGCTTTAACAGAAGAAGAAAATAAATCTGTTCGTCACTGTTATTTTGAGTTTTCTGTCACTTGTGGCTGAACCTAATCCTAACCAACACAGTCTCCCAGCTGAGTCAGGACAGTTCCAGACTTATCTTATTTCAATGGTGAGTCATCAGCAGCACCTTTGGAAATGAAGAAAAGCTACTTCACTGGTACCTCTCATCTTTCAGTGTAAGAAAAGCATGGCCCACAAGTTCCACTCACTAACGGCAGGTCACTGACAGTGGTTCTGATACCTGGGCTTCAACTTTCTTCCAGTTCAAAGGCAGTGGTGAGATACTCCTTTGGAACAATCCCAACGAGGCTGTTCAGTTCTCCTACCCACCAGCCATACATGTTATATTCCTGCAAAATGAAAAGATGATTGGTTCATGTGGAATGCAGCTCTGTTAATCTTTTGGAGTGACTGCATGGAAGATTTTGTGGGTGGTTTCTTGGTTGGCGGCATGAGGATGAATTGTTAACACTCCTGATGTGATTATGAAATAAAAAGAAACCATCTAGAGGAGGAAAGCAAACTCTGTTTCCATCTTGCTATCTTCCTGTCTACGCTGTAAACTTAGCACACACAGAGTAAACATTGGATGCCACTGCTGAACCTAACAAGCATTCATTTCTTTTACCAAGCAGAGCGGCATGGCCTCTTCAGAGGAAGTAAGGTACATCCTAAAATGTCAGAACACCACCTTCGGGGGAGGGGAGTGGTCAGGTCATAGTTAGTACTATTTACCAAGCATCTTCTTTGTGCGAAGTGGTATTTGAGTTCCTGTGAGATATGCAATGATGAATCAGAACACTGCTTGCTCCCCAGGAACTTACAGAATAGAGTAATGGGCTTTGGAGTCAGACAGACTGGGATCTATCCCTGTTCGGTCATTTAGTAACTGTGTGCCCTTAAGTTCTCCTAGCTTTGACTTCCTTATCTTAAGAGTAGGGATAATATCATCCTTTCCCAAGTTGTGGGGAGATAAGTGATACCACAGACATGAAAACAATGACAAGTGACTGGTACATAGTAGGTGCTCTAAACATTAGATGCCTCCCTTGGAAGGGATGAGAGGTTGAGAGGTACGTCAATAACGATAATAAAAGGCAGGATGTAAATGATACAAGGGAGGAGCAAACCAGAAAGGGGCTGACAGGGCTGAAAGAAGGCAGATGCTACAGGGTTGAGGATGGGCCGCCTTGGATACAGAAGAGCTTTTCAAAAGCACAGCAGCTGTTGAACATTACAGGACTATTCCTGAAAGCACCAGAAAATATTTTCTTTTGAAGGAGGTAAAATTTAGGATGACCCTGTAAGAAATACCACACATTCTGGTTTGACTGGATTTGGGGTACCATGGAGCTTTCTCTGCTTTCTGCCCACCTCGCTGCTGAGTTCTACAGCACATAAAACTGGTGACACGTAAAATTCAGGGTCTCTAGCACAAACTGGTGATCTCTTTGCCTTTTTATATATTATCTCCCCTCCTCCAACTCTGACTCTGTCCTCCCTCTAAGCAGGTGACCTATTCTCAACTTCAAAGAGAAAAGAGAAGCCATTGGATTTGTCAACCTCCAGCCACCAAAGCAGGAACCTTGTATTAACACCCATCCTTCTTTCCTATTAACATGGGGAGAGGCGCCCTCCCCTGGTCTGAGACTGTCCCTCACAACATGTCCTTGTAAGCCACCCCCTTCTGTTCTTAGAGAGGAGGTTCTGTGGAGTCTTCCCTCTGCTGCCAGTGTAAATGCTCCTCCATTAGTACTGAAATGTGTTTAAGTTTCTTTCATCTTTGAAAACAACAATTAAATAATCCCCACTTCAAAATGGACCAACTAGAAGACAAATCATGAGAATGCATTCTGAAGAATGTAACCAATGTTACTAAACAATCTGTGTAGAAATTGTTGAATGGGAACCTAAACTGCTGTGGAAACCTTCACCAAGGACACAATAAAACATTAAAAACATAAACTTTGAAAACATGAAAAAAAATCACTGTTTTATGTCCACTTCTGATTTTTACTAGTCCATGCTGATTTCTAATTCAAAGTCAAACTTACTGCAAGAGTTTACTACACCACTTGTCCCAACATCTTTCTATTCACAATTCCAGCCATTCTAGTGGGGCTTCTGCTCCCATCACCCCACCTAAGCGCTCTCTCCATGGTCTCCTATAACCCTCTGACTGCTCAAATTGAACTTCTCAAGTCTTTCACTTATACGATCTCTCAATAGTACCGGCATCATAGACGGTTCCTGGGGCATTTTCTTCTCTTAGTCTCTATGATAACTATACTCTGGGTCCCCTCCTACCTCTCTGGTTGTGTCTCCTCACATTCTTTTGCAGGCTCTTCTATTTCTCCTTTCAGTGTGGTTGTTTTCCAGGGTTCTGTCCTGACCCCCTTCTTTCCTGGCTTGGTGTACTTTTCCTTGAACAATCTTACAGGCCTCTGTGGTTTACCCACCAGCTCTGTGTTAATAACTCACAACCCTAGCTCCAGCCCAGCTCTCTCATGTGAGTGTTGGACCCTATCCAAGTGTGTGTCATCAATTTCTGATGGCAGCACCAATTAGCCACGTGACTCAGTATGTCCTAATTTAACCCATCTTGCATGCACCCCGATTCTCACTCCTGAGTACTCGTCACCTCCTGTGTCTGCTGTCTCAGTGACTGGTACCACTGTGCATTCAGTTACCTGAGCCAGGAACCTAGGAGTTATTCCTGATTTCACTTCCCCTTCCAGTCAATCCCTCAGTCCTGTTGATTCTCGCTCCAAAATATTACTGGAATCCACCCACCATTCCCATTCCCAGTACCTTAGGATCATTTCATTGTCATCTACATAAGGCCTATGGAAACTACCTCCAAAGTGGTCTCTCTCTCTCTATTCTTGTTCTCCTCCCATCTCTTCTTCATTCTGCAGCCAAAATCTTTCTAAAATGCACATTGATAATGTTGCTGCTCTGCTTGAAACTCCCACTGCCCACTGTTGACTTTTTAACAAGCTGTACACAGTTGTGTGCTGCCTTCAGTAAAACAGAACTTCTGCCATCTACTCCCATGGTCCATAGGCTCTCACCTAGGAAGCCTTCCTCTGCCTGTTTAGCCTTTTCTTCCCTCCTCGCCTTTGTGGGGCTCCATCCTAAGCAGCCTTCAGATCTCAATTCCAAAGTCACTTACTCTTGAGGCCTCTCCTTGACGCTCTCTGCCTGTGTGTGTCGAGCCCCATCTATGTGGGCCACAGGGCCCTGTGCTTCCTGGAAACGAGTTTATCCTGCTGCCTTGTATCTACCTGTCTGCCTTCCTCTCAATCACTAACCAGAAAGTTCTGTGAGGGCTGAGACCTTGCTGGCTTTGTTTGCTGTCATATTCTCAGCCCAGAGCACGGAATTCAGTACAGAGTGGGGCTCAACAAATACCTTCAACGAGTTTAGGAAGAATTGAAGGAGCACTGGGGATTAGTACTCTCAGCAGGTTCAGTTACAACTAACTCCAAGATATTCCCCAGGTGACTGAACTGGTTGTGGCAGAGAGAGCAACTGCCTTTGGAGACAGTCTCCCAGGTGGCTCTCTAAATGCCATGAAGTGAGTGTCAAATGCACAAGAAGTGAGACTACTGAGCTGATCCTTAAAAGACTTGGAAATTGTTTTTTAAAAAATCAATCTTAAAGCAATGTGTCCACCACCTCTTCTCTTCTCTGTCCTACACCCACCTTCTCACTTGCTCCCTCTCCTGGGCCTGCTTCTACCTGCTCCCTAGTCTACACTGGTTTGTAGACGGTTACCCAGAATTCCTTAGCCTAAGCTTGTCAGGAGGTTTTTAAGCTCCCCCTGGTACAAGTTATGTTGTTGTCTGTTCTCCAACACTGAAGTTAAGAAGTTAAGGTGGTTTCTGCCTTACGTTTTCTCACAGTGTTGCTCTGTGCTTACTACACTGGAATCCTCATGTCCACAAGGTCTTGCTATGAAGGGGAAACGCACACTCTGCCTTCCCTTTTCACTGTGACTCCTAACAACTCTACCTCCAGCCCTTTTGCTGTCTCACAGGCAGAGAGTGGGTACCATGTTGTCTGACAGTCTTTGATCAAGGTCAACTTGACCTTCTACCTGCCAGATGCTATCATCATTGTCACCTGCATGGGCCCAGATAGGGCATTCTCTCCCTGGGGACTGGCTAAGGCCCCGACTTGGACTCACAATTTGCAGCACTCCCCTTGAGCCTTAATGCCAAGAGGAGGGACCAAGCCTTGGGAAGTGCTCTCTGCCAACTGGAAGAGAGTGCAAACAGGAAGAAGATGAAGCACAGCAGGACACCTGCAAGGGCTGGGCTCCCAGGCAGTTTGCTCTTGCTTGAGCGGAGCACTGACCCTGCTGACTGCAGATGGAGTAGCCTCACCACAGTGGTGAGAACTGATATTAGCGGAATCAAATGTCTGCCCTTCAAAACAAAAGAGCGGGCAGAAGTGTGAGGAGGATGGCACAGTCTCAGAGACCATATGTCTCCTGCTGTGGGAGCCTGGGAGCTTAATCAAGGCACCTACAGGTTCTAGGATCTGACTGTCTTTCCCAGATTTTATCCCTTGGCTGGATACCCGAAAAGGGCTGCAGGGCTGAGATGTATGAATGGAAAATTTCTAGCCTTCTCTTCCACTACCACCTCCTATGCATTGCTCCAGCCCAGTCTCAACACCACGAGGTATTTTAAAATAATTTCTACTTTGATGAATTGCTGGGGAGTCCACAATTGCTCATAATCAAAGGGAGAAAAATGCAAATGAGATCCGGCCGAGAACTATCACCACCAAACGTTTATTTCACTGCACAGTGCCAAAAAGAATTAAAACAACATTAAACTCACAGCAATCATGTTTAAGCCCTCGTTTCCAAGTGCCAAATTGCACCACTCTGGATCATACAGATGTTCGTTAATTATGCTAATTTTTATTAAACTATTAAAATGGAGAGAGTACTGGCTTAGCCAGACAGACCCCAGCTCTGAATGAACTCTGCTCTTGTCTAGAGGTGCTAATTTACTGCATTTTTATTAAGTTGCTGATTCTTGGATTTTAGTTTGAGGATGGCAGACAGAACAAAATTCCTGGGATCAATGTTTTCAAGAAAGTCTGACTTCTTTTTGCCTAGATGTTTGGAAAGACTGGAAAGATGCTGAGAGGCTCCCAGGAGACCTGAAGTCCTCCTTGTGGAAGTGGATCTACCACCAAGGTTTGTATACACACACCCACAAGTTACAGTGTGAGGGTGTAAGACTTAGACGTGTACTCAATTTGGTAACTATATACACTGTGTATGGACAGGTAAAACTAAGATGTTAATTATACCAAACTGTTGACTACA